TGGGTGGCAGCTTTGCAGTGTGGACATGATCGCTGGGGTCTCTGGAAGTACAGGGAAGTGGGGGGAGGCAGCCCAACCTGACTCGGAGAAAGTCTGGAGATTTCAGTCACAAAACCTGCACACCTGAATTTTCAGTAGGTTGTATTTTGGTGAGGTCTGTCTTGAGATGGTGGAGCTAGGATGGGGGTATAGTGGTGATTTTGGATTGTGGGAGCAAGAGGCTGCCAGGGGCTCTGCTTGGGTGGGCACCAGGCTAACCCGCCCCCATCCCATGTGCCTTGGATTATATTCAGTCGTGCGTGGGTCCAAGTCTCACATGTTTTTAATTTGAATAATCACAAAGTTATTTTTTATGTGATTTGAAATTTATGAAAAATTTCAGGGGACTCTGACATCATTCCAACTTGCATGCATCATATTTTTTTTCTTGCTCTGGTTAAACCGTCTCTACTTTCCTGCAAAGTTTAGTAGACGTGGTGAGAGCATATGTAATCGACATGCAATTTGTCCATCTTCCACCATGAAGTAGATATGAACTGTACGTTTTCCAAGGATTCACCTTGTCGAAGGAGTTTCACATTGCTTCCTACTAGGCCAATAGAGGGTCCACAGATGACCGTCACTATTGAACTTTAAAATACGTATTTTGGGGCCTGGGAGTGATAGTACAGCAGGTAGAGTGCTTGCCCTGCATGCGACTGACCTGAGTTGAATCTTCTGCATCCCATTTGGTCCCTGAGTCCACCAAGAGGGATCCCTGAGTGAGGGCAGAGCCAAGAGGAAGCCCTGAGTACTCCTGGGTGACTCAAAAACAAAACAAAACAAAACAAAACAAAATCCTTTGGGATTTTTTTATTGAGACGATCACGTTTGTTTGGTTTTTTTTTTCTCACTTTTTTTTCTCTTTTTCACTTTTATAGGATGAACTACATGGATTGACTTCTTCAAGGGGACTAGAGAGAGTTGTGTTTAATTTACGGCTAATGACTCCCACCTGCTACCATCTGGCCTTTCTCGACAGGCTGGTCCTTGAATCACAGGTTCTCAGCCTGGCTGGTGGGAGATGCTTCCCAGCCAGTGTGCCCCCCGGGTGCCCTGCTCTCTCCTCTCTTGGGTGTTTGTCCCAATGTGCAGGTGCAGCGGGCCTTTGCTGGGGAGCTGAGGTCGCCCTGCGCAGATCCTGGGACTCTCTAAACTCTGCACTGCCTTCGCTGGCCAGCCTGGTTTTGGGGATTCTGAGCTGTGCTCCTAGGACAAGGAGCCCCTGGTCTCCGCCTGGTTCCTTCACCTCCAGTAGGCACCAAAAGTCTCTGTATGACAAGTGTGGGCTTTGAATCTCTCCTTCCTTGCCCGATGTCCAATATCTTATCACACATTATGTTGGAGCATTTACCTATTTAAAAATGTTCCACAGGGGCCAAAGAGATAGTGCAGCTAGGAAAGGCACTTGCCTTGCATGAGTCGACCAAGGTTCGATTCCCGCCACCCCACACGGTCTCTGTTAGGAGTGAACTTGAGCGTAGATCCAGGACTAAGCACTACCAGGTGTGGCTTTACCTGCGCAAGGGCAAACGGCGCTGTTATTAGACTTCTTTGGTCTAATTTTAGACGAATGTCTTTCAAATTTACCTTTCTCCCATCAACAAGATTCTGCATCTTTTTTTTTTTTTTGTAAAACTGAGCTCTTAGTATTTTTCTGTGAACTGCTGGATTCATTTCTCAGATCAAGTCTCTTGAGGGATTAACTTCCCTCCGGTGAGTTTTAGAAGGCTCTGTTAAGATTTATGTATTAGGGACAATAGCTCTTTTTTTTTATGACTGTGATTTAAGTTCCAAATATTTTCCAACTGTAGTATTTGTCATTTGAATTTTTATGATTTTTGACATGCATGCTTTAAAATTTCATGCAAAAATAGCGTCCCTTATGACTTATAAATTATTAAATGAATTTCTTTAACAAAGCCCATAAACAAGAGAGAAGCCAAGAAGCCCTGCAGAAGGATGGAGTCCTTAGGCAACCCTCGGCGAGGAACCTTTCGCTCGGCGGTCCTAGACAGCCGGACCCAGACCGATGTCCCCAGTGGGGTGCAGCTCCCCAGATGCATTGGAGATTTGGGGACTCGGAAGCCTGCTGTGGTGTGAGGGGTAGGGACGTGGTTGTGGCTGGAGGTTGGCTGGGTCCCAGCAAGTCTGCCAGGAGACCCTGGGAGCCGAGGGTTGTGCCCAGGGTCAGCAGGACGACATATGGACCCCTCCCCCAGTCCAGGTTGGCTGAGGGATCTCTGACCAGAGAGAGAGGGGCAGAGAGTACTGAGTGTCCGTGCCCTCAGCACTTGGGTGAGAAGCAACCCAAACTAGCTGTCAGGGTGTGTCCCTGAATGGAGCGGGAGGGGGTGGGGAAGGCTGGGGTCCAAGCAGGACCTCAGAGCTTAGGGGCCGGAAACCATATTGGCAATGCAGCAGGAGTATGGCAAAGGCTGGGGCTACTCTCCGGCTGAGAAGGCGGTTCCCCTGCGCCCAAGGTGGGTAAACAACCCTCCAGCTGGCACGGGAGCTAACCTGGGGTGTCGGGGAAACTTAGGAAGAGGATCCTGGGCTGTGGCTGTAGCATCGGCTGTCGCTGAGAAGAGACGCCCAGCTTTAGGGATATGTCAGGCAAGACCTGGCTTTCCTGACGGTCTGAGAAGGGAGGAGGGAAGGGGCGAGAAGCCCCCTCGATGCTACCCACGCAGATGCACGAGGCTCAAGCCACAGGTCGTTCCCAGCCTGGCTTTCCCTGGGCCTTGCTTCTCTCGCTGCTTCCTCCTGGGACTGGCTGGGGCGATGCTCTGAGGGGATTCACCCCTGCAGGAACACCTTGGCCAGTCCCTGTGGAAAGAGGGGCCCACAAGAAAGCACCATGGGCAGAGCAGTGGCCGATCCCTCCAGTCCTTTTCCTTGAGGGACCAGGGATTAGTCTCCATGAGCCACTAGGACGGGGAGCTGGGGGTGCATGTGGACAGACAGGGGCAGATCTGGTCTCTCTCGTCACCCATAGGCCAGGAAAATGAGTCACAGGAAAAGTGACCCTCACGCTGGCCCCCAGCCCCAGCCGTGGTGGCTGGCGGGACAAACGAGAGTGTGCGGGGGTGGGGGCGACCTGGCGGGGGTCTCTGCAGTCCAGGCCCCAGGGACCATCATGGGGAGTGGGGGTTGAAGGGCACCCGGGGTAGGAGGGGCAGTGGGCCGCAGCTGGGAAGCAGCCGGTCACCAAGTCTGTGCCGAGGACCCCTCGTGGCCCTAGCCCGCCCATACGTGGTACGAGGCTGTGAGGCGTGATGCCATTTGGGGGGCGGGATGCCCACAGCCGTGCTAAGGAAGCCCAGCCTCCCCACTGGGGATTCCTGCTTGGCCCTCGGTCCTGGGGTCACCTGGGCCACCAGCGGTGCTTGGGTGTGTCTAGGGTGACACCCTGTGAACCCAGGTTGGATACATTCCAGGCCTGTCCCTCTCTGCAGCCGTGGTGCAGGAACCTGTGTTTTCTGCAGATGGGGAGCTTCTGTGTTCTGCCCGGGACGAGAGTGCCCACGGGCACGATGGGGATGCTGGTGGTGTCAGCGTGACCGTGACCAGGCAGTGGGTGGGGAGCAGAGACCACCAATGGCCACGCGGGACTTCTATTCTCAGTTTGACTTGGCCCCTTCACTTGCCGCTGCCTGCTGCTCTCCCTCCGCTGCTGTTTCTGCATGGGGCCAACAGGCAAAAAAGGACACTGGTCGCCCCGCCCACACCTCCGTAAAGAACAGCATCATAAGAAGCAATGTCCAAGAAATATTTTATTCTGGACAGGGACCCACACAGGCTGCGGAGGGGGGGACACCCAGCATCTGGGGGCTGCTCGGGCTCCTGGTCCGTGGACACAGTATAGGCGCTGCACGGCCAGCGTCACAGTGAAGACAGAGGCAACCCCACTATTTCCTGGAGGGGACGGGATGGAAACGTGTGGAACAAGAGGATCGGGGAACAGGCCCGGTTCTGAGGAGGAGGACGAGGACCACGTGTGTGTCTTTGAGTAAAAATATAAAACCACACCCTACACTGAAACGTCTCTCAGGATGCCGAGGAGGTGACTCCGACAGTCCAAGGATGGGGTGGGTCGTCTAGAAGGACTCTCAGGGGTGCAGGACAAAACCCAAGGGCAGCGGGTCCAGGACGGCTGGGGAGGGAGGTGGCTGGACAGCAGCGGGAGGGGACCTTTCTCTCCCACCAGCCCGAGGTCACCAGGCTGCAGCCCAGCAGGGACGAGTCTCGGTTCCTCCTTTCAGACACTCTCAGATGTCCCTGGATTCTGTTGGCGGTGCCGCCCAGATGGAAGGGGCACGTTTCCGCACGTGTCCTGTGTTGGAGCCAGTATGGGGCCACCGTCTGCCCAGCCGGGCTCTCTCTTCCACACGTGCGGCTGGACTCCTGGGATGGGCCAGGGAACTGTGCCAACACTTTGCTGAGTGACTAGGAGCATGGCTGGATTCTCAGAGGGGCTGGGCGAGGGGGGGGGGGCTGCTGAAATGGAAGAGGGGGCGGTCTTGGGTGGGGCCAGGAGAAGGATGGCTGCAGCACCAGGTCCTTGGGCTGGCCCAGAAGGTGGGAGGGGCGGGCCAGCCCCAGGGCGGAATGAGGACACCTGGGCTGTGGCGGGCCTGGGAGGCGCTCCCTTGGGGCCCCTTTCCCAAAGTCCTGCCTCACAACGAGGGGTGCGGTGGGGGATTGGGATTGGGGTGGGCTCATTCATTGCTTTGGGGGTTGGGGAGTCTATGTCGGGGACGGAGGCATATTCTACACCTGGGAACATTTCACAAACCGCCGGCTGGCATCTCCCAACAACCTGGTAAATTAGAGATGGCAAAGGGTGGTCAGACCCAATGCACAGGCAGGAAACCGAGGCACAGAAAGGGCTGGGCTTGTCCAAGGTGGCGGGAAGCTGGCCGGGCGGGCCCAGGGCTCTCTCTGCGTCAGAGCGGCCACGTGCCTGGGGCTGTGCCTGGCCTTAGCTGCGGCAGCCTCGGGAGCAGGCCTGGGCCAGGAGGTTGTTGTTGCGGCCGTCCTGGAGTCTGCTCTGCGCCTGGCTGCCTCCACGGCCCTCGGCGGCATCCAGGAGCTGACTGCTCGCCCCCTGCTGCCGCCTCAGCCTGTAATGACAGCACAGGCCCCGTCAGCCAGGCCAAGGCGGGTGGTGGGCACGGGGGCATCAGGCAGGAGGAGGGGCCCCAGGAAGCAGGGTCGTCACTATGGAGGGGACGGAGGTAGCATGTGGGAGCGGGGGTGGGGACCGGGAGCCACAGCCCAGCCCTGCTGCCCTCAGCCACGTTCCACTGAGCACACGCCTGCACACAGACATGCACGCACATGTGCACAAACATGTGTGCACATGCGTGCATGCACACACGGGTGCACACCCACACGCGCACACACCTCCCCCCCACACGTGTGTGCGCATGCTCCCTTCCTGCAAAGTGGACGGCGGCGATGCTGGCTGTGGGCCTTTGCCCAGTTCTCTGGAGCTCACACATGCGCTTGCTGGGTTTTCTCAGCGCAAGTGAAGGTTGTGAGTCCCACACAAGTTTACTCAGGTCCTGCAAGCTCTGGCCAGCCGCCATGCCAGGGGGCACAGGACTCCCGGGCGGGGCCCAGTGCTGCTGGTTCCCACACATGAGGCATCTCAGGAGGGAGATGCATGCCACCAAACAGGGCCAGGAGGACCTGGAGAGGACTACGCTGAGTAGACTCGGTCCAGAGGGGAGGGGCTGACACAAACGACCCCTTGGGAGTGCGGGGTGTAGAGAAACAGGAAGAAATCACGCTCAGAGGCAGCAGAAACAGAACAGAAACTGGCCTCCAGGGAGTGCTCCCCACAGGGCGGGCCAGAGCAGGGGATCAGGACGGAGGGGGGCACTCCTGTGGGACATGTGTGCTGGACTGAGTTAGGCAAGAAACCCTATTAGCAGTGTTGCAAGCCACGGTGCCCCAAGTAAAAATCACACACTCAAAACCCCAAACAGACCCATGAGTGAACGTCCAGAGATGAATGTGCCGACTTACAAAGGCGCCCGACAAGCTGCGTCGGGCGAGAGGTTCTGAACAGGGCAGTGCTAACAGCTGGCACCTCCCCCCACGGAGCATGACCACAACCTCCCGCTCTGCTGGTCTGGCCGAAGGTGTCACTGTGTGTGTGTGTGTGTGTGTGTGTATGTGCGCACATGAGTGTGTGTGCTAGTGCCCACACTGGAGGAGGGAGGTTAGGGGTCACAGCAGTGAGCGAGTCCTGTGGTAACACTGTTTGGGTTTGGGCCCACACCTGGTAGTGCTCGGGCCTCGCTCCCTGGCACGACCTGGGAATCATATTTGGTGCTGGGAAGTGAACTTGGGTTTGGCTGCCTGCAAGGCAAGTGCCCTGCCTGCTGGGCCACCTCTCCAGCCCAGCGCACTGGGTGTGTAGAGGAAGGTGAACTTGGTGGCCACAACCTGGAAGCAACCCAAGTGCCCACAAACGGGTGACTGGATGAAGAAACCGATTCATACACAGGATGGGCCCTGAGAACGACACACCCGTGCAACCTGCAGCTACACTGGTGGGTCTGAGGGGACAGATGCTGAGAGAGGCAGGACACAGAGTGGTCACCCCCAGCTGGGGGGAAGGACAGGAAGGACACAGACTGTGCAGAGGAAGCAGAAACTGAGAATAGGTCTCTGGAGAAAGCAGATACTGGATGGGAGTGGGGTCTGGCACTAGAACAGTGGGGGGAGCAGGAAGCAGATCACTGATTGGAGTTGGGGGTAGGACTTCAGGGGGTGGCACTAGTGTGGGGGAGGGACGCGGACATTCTGGGGGCAGGTGTGGTGCTGGAATGTTTAATGCACAAAACCTGCCATTATCAATACTGTGAACACAGCCTAAAATGGAACTTAAAGGATTATTTAAAAAATGAGTGAAAATTCAAAGGGCTCTAAAACCTCTAGGAGTGGGAGGTTAAAGTGGCATTTGCCGGGGCTCGAGTGATAGCACACAGGTAGGGCGTTTGCGGCTTGCATGCGGCTGACCCAGGTTCGATTCCCAGCATTCCAGCCCCCCGAGCACTGCCAGGAGTATTCCTGAGTGCACGAGCCAGGAGTGACCCCTGTGCATCGCCAGGTGTGATCCAAAACCCAAAAGAAAGAGAGAAAGGTTTGGGGCTAGAGCGATAGCACAGCGGGTAGGGCATTTGCCTCGCATACAGCCGACCCGGGTTCGATTCCCAGCATCCCATATGGTCTCCCAAGCACCGCCAGGAGTAATTCCTGAGTGCAGAGCCAGGAGTAACCCCTGAGCATCCCTGCGTGTGACCCAAAAAGCAAAAAATTAAAAAAGTGGCATTTTCCAAAAAGAGCTTTGTTAATGCCAAGGGTGCCACTAGGCTGCCCAGTCACGAACAGAGGCCAGTCTCATTGCGGCTCCATTCAGATGCTCAGAGAAGAGGGAGCACTGTTATCTGTAGATTCTGTGCTTTTTATTTATCGCACATAATAAAGTGTCGGAAGTTGCCAAAGAATGGAATATGTCAGTTTTCCATCAACTTATGTATTAATTTACTTATCTTCCAATTTATCCTGTATATCAACCATGTACTTACTCACCCACCTTCCACCCACATGTCCATCTACTTGCCCTTCCATTCACCCATAGCCAACTCATCCATCCATGCATTCACCTATCCATCCATCCATCCATCCATCCATCCACCCACCCATCCATCCACCCATCCATTCACCCATCCATCCATCCACCCATCCATCCACCCATCCATCCATCCATCCATCCATCCATCCATCCATCCACCCATCCTCTAGTCATTCTCCATCCATCTATCCACCCATGTCATTTATTTACTATCAATCCTCTCTTGGCCCTATTATCCCGCATACTGACCTACCCATCCACCTTCACATCTATCTACATTTACTACCTCCTCCTTTCCTACCTCTCCCCGATCTTCCTGGTCACCACCACACCCTGAGACCGCTCCCAAACCTCCCTGCATCACTGCTTCTGCCCAGCTGATCATACCCACATATTGTCTCCCCATCCTGTTCCTCCACTTATCCAGGCTCACGGACGGAGAACTGGGCATTCTGCATTCTGACAGAGGGTCTACACTGGGAAGAAGCAGTGTTCTCAAGAAACACAGTTTATTTTTAGTTAAAAATGAAGAAAAAAAATTGGAGTTGTGTCTTGCAATGCTTAAGGATTCAGTGCTCTGGGGTTCCTCCAGGTGGTGCTCAGGAGACCATGCAGTGCTGGGGATTGAACCCAGGCTTCCCTCATGCAAAGCCCTGTTTAGTCCATTGAATCATCTCTTTGGTATTAGATTTAATTTTTTAAATATTTTAATTGTTTTTGGTTTGGGGGCCAGTGTGCAGGGCTCACTCCTGGCTCTGTGCTCAGTGATCACTCATGACAGGGCTCAGGGTACCAAATGGGGTGGTGGTGTCAGAACCCGGGTCAGCTGTGTGCAACACAGCCTACAGAGATGCTGGGCCAGCTCTGCAGCCTCCTGAGGCCTGTTTGTCTCAACATCTGGGCTCTTGGTGTGGCTCCTCTGAGCTCAGCCTGGGGCGGAGAGCTGGGAGGTGTTTCCCACAGGCACGAGAAAGGCGCAAGCTGTCCACGTAGAGGCTGTGAGCTTGACAAAGACGGGGCGCCATTCCGGTCACCTCAAGAGCTCCCTAAAGATGTGTGCAGGACCCATTACCTGATCGTGGAGGGGGGAGAGAGCATCATGACCCCTCCCCGTCTCCAGCCACCCCTGCCCATCTCACCACGCTGGAAGGACTTCACATTTCCTCAGCCAACCTTCCCAACTCACTGTCAGCTCTGCACGCGGGCCAGCCATCTGTGTGGTGGGCACGAGTGCCCGCGGCCTCTGAGCTCAGCCCTCTCGTGCCAGGATGAAGTGCCCTGGCAGAGACCCCGGCCGTTAGCTGCAGGCCGGGCTGCAGGGCTCCAGGGCAGGAGCTGCACAGGAAGGCCAGACGAATCTGCCCACTTCCCAGGCCATGGCGGAGTCCAGCACCAACCAGCCAGACTTGGGGGGTCAGGGGGGAGCTTCTGACACAAGAGCACCTTAGCGAGTGTTGCCACCCGCTCACACGGTGCTCTTCTCGATCCTCCCTGCTTCCGGGCAGTTGTCCGGCAGTGGCGATGGTGGCCGAGGGCCCAGAGGGACCAGGCTGGGATGCTCAGTGCCGCTGAGTAGAATCAGCCTCGGGGCAACCACCAACGTTGTGGTGTTTCTTCTGGTCGCCAGCAGGGGGCCCTCAGCCTCCGTGGCTGGAAGCTGGCCCGGCACAGAGGGTGGGCTGACTGCACGGAGAGAGCCCACTGTGTGCGGGAACACGAGGGCCAAGACACGGGACTCCTCGCCGCCTCAGAGGGGGCCGCGGGCTCAGGGGTCAGAGCTGGGCTGGACAGAACGAGAAGGACGTCCTCTCTGGGAGTGGGGTATATGGGGACAGGAACCAGCAGCGGGAGAAACACAGCAGGGAACAACTTTTAAATGCACAGATCCAGGGAAAACAGGGGCTGGAGGACTGGTCAATGGTTGGAATCTACCACAGCGTGTGTGCGGCAGAGGGCAGGTAAGACAGAGAAGGGACCAGTACGACAACAGTAGTTGGAAATGATCACGCTGGACAAGAACTGAGTAGGGAAAGGGATATACCTGGGGGCTTTTCAGTATCTGTATTGCAAACCATAATGCCCTCCTAAAGGAGAGAGGAGAGAGAGAGAGAGAGAGAGAGAGAGAGAGAGAGAGAGAGAGAGAGAGAGAGAGAAAGAGAGAGAGAGAGACACCTGCCAAAGAGGTAGGCTGATGGCAGGGAGGGAACCTGGGGACACTGGTGAAGGGGTAAGTGTTGGAATATTGGCTGACTGAAACCCAATCTTGAGCAATTTTATAAGGGTCCATCTTATGGTGATTAAATTAAATTTTTTTTTTTTTAAAAAGTGCACACCCATCGGAGTCTGTATAAAACCCAGCCAGAAGCACCTCTGGCGTTGAATGGGGCATCTCCCCACACGCCATCAGGTGGCAAGCAAAGAGCTGACCCGTCAATCTGTGACACACTTTCCACGAATGGGAACGGCAGGGCTGAAAGCCTCACCTGCGTAAATCAGACCCCTGGACTAGCCTCCCCGTCACACCCCAGGCCCAGTGTGTGCAGTTCAGGCCTCTCTGCTCCAGGACCTTTTGGCTGCCTTCCCCCGGCTGCTGCCTGGAGCCCCCGACCCCATGGCTGTAAGCACCAGGCATCACACCCTGGCTGTGACCCCACGAACAGTCTGTGGGGTTTGCTCAGCCACGCCGTGGCTGGCTGCAGGCCCCAGGAAGCCCAGGGCGTGGCGGCACTTACTTCTCTCTGTTGAATATAATGAACTCCTTCCGCACTGTCTCCAAGCACTGCTGCAGGTGTCCGTTCTGCAGAGACACAGAGGGGCCCATCGCGGCACGCCCGGGACAGAGGCACCCCAGGGAGTTCCCAGGCGAGTGGCAGAGAGGCCTCCAGTAAAGGGGCAGCTTCACAGCGGGCCCCGAGAGGTGCTGGGGGATAGTTCTTCTTAGGCTTTCCTGTGTCTGGTCTGTGGGCAGGACACTAGCAGGGCGTGGACGGGCTTCCTGAGGCCTTGGGCCAGGCGGGGCAGCCTCCGGCGCCAGTGGGCAGAAAACGCCATGCGTCAGAACAGGCGTCAGATGCGCCGCCACTCTGGGGGGCGAGCGTGCTGGGCGGGGGCTCCTGGACTTACCAGAGGACAGCTGGTCTTCGTGCTGTCTTTGGACCGGTTCTTGGCCAACCGTTTCTTCTTTTTGTGGAGGGGCTTGGATTCGAGAATCATCTCTTCAAGTTCAAATGTGGGGTCGCAATTCAGTCTCCCTTTCTGAGAGAGCGAGAGAGAAGGGGTTTGGCTCTGTCCTGCACACAGTGCAGCCACCCAGGCTCACTCTGCGTGCAGTCACTCATCACCCACCATCACTCGTCCGTCTCTCACTCACTCACCCACCGTCTATCCATCCTTCATTCATCCATCATCTACCCACTGTTCATTCACCTACTCACCATTCAATCACCATCATCCATTCATCAATCATTTGCTCATCCACGATCCACCCACCATGTATCCATCCAGTACTCATCCAGGCAGCCACCAGACATTCATTCATCCATCGTCCACACATCATTCTTTCGCCCTTCATTAATTCATCCACCCAACTTTCGTTTATTCACTCTTCCACAATTCATTCACCCACCATCAATCCATCCAGCCATCCTCAATCCATCCATCCACAATAAATTAATTTATCTACCATCCACCCATCATTCATTTACCCATTCGCCATTCATTCATTCCCACCATTCACCATCCATCTACCGTCCACCCCTCATCCACCCATCATTAATTCACTCGTTCTTTCATTCATTCACTCAGCACCCATCTACCATCCACCCATTCATCCACACTCATCCACTATCTGCTCACCCTCTCACTATTTACCGTCACCTGTCCATCCATCACTCCTCCATTCATCATCCATCCGTGCGTGGCATCATCCATTTGTCTGTTGTCCCTGCACACATGCACTCTCTCACGCTTGCCTGCATTCATTCCCTCGCCAGCAGACCAGACAGTGCCGGTTAGTGCGGGTGCATTCGGAGAGCCTCCCTGGCTCATGCCGAGAATGAGCACAAGCTCCCCCAGGTGTTGCTCACTCCTCCCTGGTGCCTGTCTCCCTCCTGGGCGACTCCTGAGTATGTCTGCGCTCCTCCTTCTCCTTCCACTGTCCCCTTCAGAGCTGGCTGCATCTCCCCGAAAGCCTCGCAGAACGGACCACACCCATTCTTATGGCGCTGCTGCGTCTTCATTACCATCTAGCTATGTTATAGAACTGCTATAATTATATATGATTTTATATATTGATACTTATTATCAATCTTAAATAACTGGGCCATAAAGTCCATGTCTGGTTGCCACGCCCTCGGCTGCTGGGTCCTGTTGGCTGTTCCGGGTTGGGTCCTGCCTGGTCAGGGGGAATCTGGTGAGTCCGACCATGGCCTGAGCTCCCCAGCGGTGCCGCCAGCACGACCCAGAACGGGTGCCCGGGGAAGCCCCGGCGTGGCTGCCTCTGCCATGGGCGTCTCCTGACAGTTTGGCTTCCCCGTGAGCACGGCGAGCCAGGTGCTGGGGAGCAGCCCCAGCTGATTCTGCCTCGGTGGGAGCAGACTCCGCGCAGCCTGCCCGGGGCCTTGGCTCCTGGCCCCACACCCTGTGGCTCTGGAAGGGCCAGCAGAGGGCCGGGTGGCTGCTGGCCACCGCGAGGATGGATGGAGAGCGCAGGGATCCCGCCCACCTTTGTTTTCTGACAGAGAGCACAGAGAGGAGACCAGCCTGGCCAGTCCAGAGACAGGACGGTGCTGTCATTGTTGTCAGTGGGGACCTGGGGCTCCCGGGAGAGCTGACTGGGGGCTGCATTCATGTTGATTCTGCTGGATCTGGCAAAACTTGGGGTGCTTTTGCACCAACAGGTGCTATGGAATCTCGAATGGGGTGTGAAGCAGCATGGGGGAAGCGTCAGGGGACCCAGCCCATGCACCCCAGTCTCTGCAGAGGTGTGAGCCAGGGGTGCGACACCGGTTCTGTCAGGGACCCAGACACCCGCTCTGTGCGGGGTGCGACACCCGCTTCCTGGGCCTGCTGCGGAGTCCCTCCTCCCAGCACTGTGTTCTGGCTGACAGCTCAGAGATGAACAGGGTGGGGGGCAGGGGGAGGCCTGGCAGCGGCCAGCCCTGCTTCGTGAGCACAGACAGGAAGACCAGAAACGTCACCCCAGACTTCTGTCCTTTCCATCTCTTCCTGAACGATGCCTGGTGCCTTCTGCCTATCCCCTCTGCCCGCTGGGCTCCTCTGTGGGTGTGTCTGTGCCAGGCAGGAAGTGGACATGGGGCCTGCTGACCGCCCCCACCCCAATCCTGCCCAGGCTCCCTCCCTCTCATCCCTCTGCACACAGATGTGTGGAGGTTAGGGGCGCATGGGGAACAGAGTCTGCCCTCGAGGAGAGCTCTGGTCACCTCCCTCCATGGTGGACTCCACCCCCGGGGGTCCCGCCGGGCCTCAGCATGTGGTGGGTGCCTCTCAATCTGGCCTCTCGCCCCAAGTGATTGCTGCCCGTTCAGTCATCAGAGCTGCTTCTCAGCTCACGGGCCGCTCCTGTCTCCATCCCGCTGTGCGGCCCCCTCCCTGCTCTGCCTTCCCGGGCTGGGTCAGTTCTGTGAAAGCAGGGCCCGGGCTGCTCCCCTGCGCAATGGGCGTCGCACCCGCACATTGTGAGGGGTCTGCACCCCTGCACAGAGCAGGTGCCTGGGTCCCTCACAGAACGGGTGTCATATCCCTGCACAGAGCGGGTGTCTGGGTCCCTGACAGAGCGGTGCCTGCACCCCTGCACCCCGCGGCCATGTTCAGAACAGGAAGTGGGCCTCGGGGCGGGAAGCCGCCTGTGTCGGGTTCTCCTCTTCTGTGGCCAGCAGTCTCCTGGCTGCCCAGTGCCCGGGTAGCACTGCAGAGGGGCGGCCCCGTGGGCCGGGTCCCCCACTCACGTTGGGCACGAAGCCGGGCGTCAGCGCCTTGTCGAACACTGCGTCCCAGTTCATGTCGGCCAGGTAGGGCGTGTTCTGGACATCCCCCAGGCTGGACAGGCGGCTCTCAGGGTCCTTGGCCAGGAGCTGCGAATGAAGGACACATGTCAGCAGGAGCTGGGAGCTGCACGGGTGTGGGACGTGCCCCCGCCATGCCCCTGTGCCAGCTCCGACAGGCATCCTTGGGGCCCTGCACCCTGCACCCGGAGGATCCCGCAGAGCCGAGGGCCAGGACCGTGCGCAGAGCTGGGGAGCCTGCCTTCCTTTCCCCAGCTCCAGGAGCCCGCCGCAGGGGGGTGTGTGGTGTGTGGTGGGGCGCTCCTGTTTCCAGAACCCAGTGGTACTGGTGGGGGCTCTGTTCAGGGTCAGCAGTGCATGTGGACCCCTGAACCATGTGGCTCCTAAGTGACCCTGGTGCCCCTGCACGTGTGTCCTTGGACCCTCCCCCTGGACTCCCTGGGTGCTTTCTGGAAGTCCCGTCCCCACGCGCCCGCCTACCTTCTTGAGCAGAGCCACCATCCCCTTGCACCAGGTGGAGGAGTAGCGGACGCGCTCGGCCCGGAACATGTGCAGGATCTCGTCAACGGGCGTGGCCGAGTGGATCTCGTAGGGCCGCTGCAACAGGGCCCCTGTCAACCTCGCTGCCAGCCCCTGCCCCTGCACCGTGGGGGTCTGGCCGCACCCACGTGCCCACAGTGATACAGAAAGGCCAGTGTCAGCCTCACGGGACCCTCAGTCTGGGGAGGGAGGGGGCCGGGGTGCAGGCATCTCTGGGTCTTTCCCAAAGCGGGGTCCTGCAGGAGACGCTTGTCCACCTGCAGGGGCTGCCTCCATACTCCGGGTCACCGATCAGGACAAGCCCTGCCCCCAGCCACACACCTGTTGGGGTCTCAGTAGCTGGCCTGAGACTTTGACTAAATCCCCTGCCCCTGAAAGAAAAAGCTGGCCCTGTTTACAGGGGCCCAGGGGCTTGCTCCGGCAGCCACACACTAGGCACTCTAGTGGCCGAGGCTGAGGGATGGAACAGTTACCATCTGCCTGAGCTGATACACTGCCCTGAGAGTGGGAGATGTAAACCATTAACCTCTGCACTAGCCCCACAAGGTAAACGTGATACTCGTGGATTGCCCCCTGGAATGGATGTATAAAACCCCTGTGTGAGAGCTAATAAACAGATTGCTGCTCGACCACAAGCCATCCCCCCTCCGCGTGATTCCTTCTCCGTGGTGGCGGGAGTCCGCGGTGTGCGGAGGGCCAGGGCAGAGGCTTCTCCCCTTCCCACTCCCTCTCCTACAGGGAGTAAGTTCGGCCACCAGGGGGAATCATACTCCGGAGTGCTGGGCTCAACTGGCCAGGACTCAACACACCCACCCTGAGGGCACGCCGGGGAGCTGCTTTTCCCGCTACTCTGTCATTCTGGAATGTGCGTCCATACCTGCTCTAAAATGAAAGGAAACGGAGGTTGCCTGCCTGGCACTTCAAAGCCCCCGAAGTTGCTGTCCTGCTGGCAAGCCCCCAATCAAGGTGGGAACGGCCCCGTGTCTGGGTGGGGCCCTCCTGCTGCTTCCCTCCCAGGGGGGCTCCACAGGACAGAACCAGCAACAGGACTGTTTTCAGGAGACAGCCCAGAGCACAGGAGCCTGGAGCGGGTGCTCTGCCCACCAGCAGCATGGGCTGAGCTGTGTCCCCCCAATTCATACGTTCAGGTCCCAACCCCCAGAATTTCCCCCTGTGACCAGCCTCTGCCAGAGGGTGTTCTCAGAGGCGAACAGGCGACCTTAGCGCAAGCCCTGACTGGCGGACCACTGGGACAGGTCCCCGCCGAACAGGACCGGGCCCCACCTGCTCATCCTGCTCAGGGACCTGAGACAGAAGCGCAGGCCGGGAGGGGCCTGGGAGCAGGGCGCACACTGAGGGGGGACTTAAGGGAGTTTCCACCGAGGACCTGGAGGGTCTGATGTCTGGTTTCCTTCTTATTCCTCCTCTGAATTGGGGTCCCAGAATAAGTGGGGCTCTACCCACTGCGCTCACCGTCTTAGTGGGCCAGGCGGGGAGGGTGCTGCTGTTGAGCCCCTTTTGGTGGTGCAGCACGGGGGGTTTGGGGATAGCCCCTGGAGAGGGGTCGGGGCTGAGCCTGGGGCAGTCTGGGCCAGCAGGCTGCCCCCTTCCGGCCCGGGGACCCAGAGTCCCAGGGGTCGCAGACAGGAGCTTATGCCCTCTTCTTCCTGAGTCACCTGAGCTAGGGGGAGGTGGAAGGGCGCAGAGTAGTCCTGCCAGGCCCCGCGCACAGCCCTGCTCTGGGGGCTATACCGAGGCACGAGGAGTTGGTGTTCACCGGCTCCTTCCGGACTTGGGCTTGGCCCACGGACTGCAGCTCTGCACTCCACCCTCTAGGGGGAGCTCCACGCCGTGCCTCCATTACTCCAGGACTTCTCTTCTTGCTCTCCCCAGGCTAGGCTGTGCTGACCAGGTCAAAGGCCAGGGGAGCAGCATGGAAGGGAGTTGGGGATGGGGAATGGGATGAGAAGTTCTTCTGGCGACTCAGTCTGTGCTGTCAGGGCCCACTCAGTCTCAGTCCTCCAGGGGACCCTCCGAGAGGGGCCCCCCAGAGACACACAGGGCTGGGGGCGGCTACTTCTGGCAAGGCAGAGCTGCTGCGCCTGGGGGGAGGGAGGCAGGTGGCTCCCCTCGGTACTGGGCTCTGGGACACTCGGAGCAGGGCAGACCCCATGTGGCCCAGAGCAGGTGCCGGCAGTGGCCAGTCTGCGGCGGCTGCGTCCACCCTGGCTGCTCACCATGGATACCCGTGCAGCACTCGCATGTGTGCACGCGAGAGCTTCCACCCGTCTATTGGCAAGATGGGCCATGCTGCTTTTAAACCCCCCGGGTCCCATTCTACATTAAGACTTGTCACAGATGCATGTCTAGGAAAAACAGTTTCCCTGGAGACTGCAGGGCCTCAGGGGCCCAAGGACGCTCCTGGCCATCTCCCTGCGGATAACAGGCAGGGGGAGAGTGGGCACTGGAAGTAAGAGTAATAACTACCGCCACCACTTCCACTCACAGAACAATGCTTGCTTGCTTGCTTGCTTGCTTGCTTGCTTGCTTCCTTCCTTCCTTCCTTCCTTCCTTCCTTCCTTCTCCCTCACTTTCTTTCTTCCCAACCTCCAGGCCCCCATGTTCACCCACGGGTGTGTCTTACCCAGCCTCGCAGTAACTCGTAGGCCGTGACGCCCAAGGACCACCAGTCAACTGGGTACGAGTACCCAGGGCCTCCGTCCACATACACCTGGAAGACCTCGGGGGCTGCCGAAGACAAGACAGAGAGCATGTCACCGGCTGTGGAGAGGGGACACTGGGATGGACCCTCTACACACACACACACACACACACACACCTGAGGCCCCAAAGCGATGGCCCATGGCCTCTGCCCTCCTGAGCCTTGGGCTGCTGGAGAAAGCGCTGCAGGGAACAGAGGAGCTGGTGGGATAGCACCCCAGGGGTGTGCCGTGTGTGTGTGTGTGTGTGTGTGTGTGTGTGTGTGTGTGTGTGTGTAGGGGGGACGGTCTACTTTGCTCATCAGGGAAAGCCCGGAGGAGGTAGGGTGGGGTGAGCGGGCAGGGGCGGGGATCAGTTAGAGGGGAAGCAGTACCCCAAGGCAGAGACACGCGCTAAGCACCCCTCAGCTTCTCAGAGCCTCTGTGGGAGCCTGGCTGGGAGCCGCGATCCTTCCACACAACTGCCCCCAGAGGCTCTAGGCAGGGACAGAAGGAGACAGTGCCGGGAAGGGGGTGCTGTCCTGCAGGGGGGAGCAAATGCTCTGGAAGTAAGGGAGCCTCCGGTCACACAGTACTATGAGGGCTCTGAGTGTCACGGGTTGCTCGCCTTAGAATGGCGAATTAATTTCAGGCCAGGGAGAGTACGCAGGGGTGAAGGCCCCAGCCTTGCATGCCGCCAACACTGGCTGGATCCCCACACCGCGAGGTCCTCTGGCCATCTCCAGGAGGGCGGCACGGAGCTGGGAGAAGACGCTGAGCATCGCTAGGTGTGGCCCAATAATGGTCTGTTTTATGGTTTGCAAAGTTCCTTCAATAACAAGAAATGGGGAAGTGGGGATGGAGTGTATTATTCTTATTCTGCATGGATCTGAGGGCTCCCTGCTCTCTCTGAGAAGCAGAGAAGGGGTTCATCTCAGTGCCTCCTCCCTGACTCGCCAGGCCTGAGAGTGGGCCCAACACTCTTCCTGCAGTCAGATTAATACCCTCAAGGGGCAGGAAAGAGTCTATATCCAGGGCAGAGGAGGCTGGAGAGAGACCACCGGCAGGGCAGGGGAAGGCTCCCCAGAGGCTAGGGCAGAACACTAAGGAAGTGGGACCCCCTACTCAGCCTAGCTCCAAAGGAGAGCATGGGAGGGGTCTGTGAAACCCAGACCCGGCTCAGCTCTCCCTCCCTGCAGCACCCCAGGCAGGGTGCTTGGAGAGCAGTGCTCATTTCCAGGCTCAAGCTCTGTCCTCTATGGGAGGTCCCATCTCTGCATGACAAAGCTAAGGAGAAAAACAGCCAAAAGTGAATACCCAATGTACAAAGACAACACAATTAGAGGCGCTCCAGCCAGATGTGATCAGTGCTCAGAACCCACAGCCAAGAAATCCCAAATGCTTCCAGAGGAGAGCCTGGCCCCAAGGGCCCACGCTTTTCACTCAGGATCTCCACTTTTGTCCACCGGGTCAGGGCCTCCCCCCAACCTTCACGAGCTCCTCTATGGTCCTTGGCCACACATTTATTCAACTCTCCAAAACACACTGTAAACATGCAAAGATATCCTAGCTGTAGGCATCAAAGCACACAACACATTAGAAACAATAACTCAAGTAAAACCAAGAAAAAAAAAGAAACAACAACTCCAGGTTACAAGGGTAAAGCAACGCAGAAACCTGCCAGCTCAGTGAGGACGGGTGCTAGCTGGGGAGACTCAACCAGTGACCCAGAGCTACATAACCTCTCTGGAATTTAAAGAGGAATATCCGAAGATCCTTAAGGAGCTTAAAGAAACAATGGAACACACTGCCAGTAAAACACAAGAGATTAGGAGAGCAGAAACGAGGAAATTGCAAACAGAAATGACAGAGCTGCAAAACTTGGTAGGTGAAGTGGAAAACTCACAGGAAGGCCTCAGCTACAGAGTGACAGCCGCTGAGGACAGAATCAGTAAGCTCCAAGATTAGGTGCAGAAAAATCGCCAGACAACAGGAGAAAATGGAAAAAAGCTTCAAAATAAACCAACAGATGACAAGAGAACTTTGGAATAAAGTGAAGAGGAGCAATATAAGAATCATGGGGGGCCCAGAGGTGCAGAAATAAAACCCTGATAAAGAAGCAACTGCCAGTGCCACGGCTGTGGAGAACTTCTTGGCGCTGAAAAGTATATGCACCTAAATTCAGGAGACCAGAAAGTGACCAGCTAAAAGAAATCCAAATAAAAATACTCCAAGACACATCTTAATCAGAATGGCAAAAAACAAAGATAAACACAGAATACTGAAAGCAGTAAGATCAAAGAAGGAAACTATATACAAAGGAGCATCCTTAAGAATTTACAGCAGACTTATCAGATGAAACCCTCTGGTCCTGAAGACAGTGGTGAGATAAAATGAAGAAACTCAGTGAAATGAATGCCTCGCCAAGAATACTTTATTCAGCCAGATTCTCATTCAGATTTGAAGGAATAATACACAGATTCGCTGATAAACAACAACTCAGGAACTTCATAGATTCAAAACTGGCATTATAAGAACTTACATAAGGCTACTTTAAGACAAGTCCCACAAACACAACACAGTCCTGCAGAAAGATGGCACAAAACTCTATGACAATAACGTCTCTCACTTTCAATGGGCTAAACACACTGATCAAGTGACACAGAGTGGCAGATGGATTAGAATATTTAACCCATACTCTGCTGCCTTCAAAAACACATTTGACCAGTCAGAGCAAATACAGACTGAAAGTCAAAGGTTGGAGGACCATTCTTCAGGCAAACAACTCTTCAGAAAAAGCCGGGGTGAGGGGATATGGTACCGCCAGCAGGTCAATCTGTGCCTTTGAGGTGAGTGCATCAGCAGCCTGATGGCAACATCAGACTTTCAAATACCCCAAAATTGCTGCTGTGCCTTTGGCCAGACCCCAAAAACTTGGGGCAAAGTTTACAAAGAAAGTAAAAGGCCAAAAGTTAGGTATGTGGGAGACACACCCACAAACCACCTCCGGCTCAGCTATATAATTGGAGGCAAGGCCTCTCTGGTTCCTGATCGAACTGCTTAACGGCCATGATCCCAGAGACTCAGAAGCAAATCTCGGAACCCAAAGGCTTTTGGCAGAAATGTGTCCTGTTCCTGCAGTAGGTTACTGGCACTGGGCCACTCCAGGTGGGAATAGGTTTTATGCCTTGGCCTGTTCCCCCTGGCGGCCTGGTGACAACCATCCCCCAGAGGCCACTGGACATTCAGGTTTGGGCCTGCAGTGACGAGACACATGAGGCCTCACCACATGGGGGTGGAGCCGACTCTTTCTCCCCATCCCAATGAGACCCTGAGTCGCCGCCTACAAACGGCCTCTCTGGCTCCTGATCAAGCTGATTAATGGCCATGATACCGGAGACTCAGAAACAAATCTTAAAACCCAGCAGCTTTTGGCAGAAATGCATCTGGACTGCGTACAAGGTGGCCGCTGGCTCAGAGCTTATTGGAAAGCCAGGTATGAACTGGCGGTGAAGGGGCAACTGCAGTCTCATAGGAAGGGGGATGGTACCAGCTGGTCCTTCACGCCCTACCGAGGTCACGAGTTGCCCCCTACAAGCGGCTCTCTGGCATGGCCATGGCTCCAGAGGCAAAAGGACTTAATCCAGAACCCGGCAGCTTGCAGCAGAAAAGTAAATGGACTATGCATTAAACTATGGTGCCATGCCTCCCCGGGAGGGAAAGGGTGCTGCTCCCTTCTGCTCCCCCCCTCCCCCCGGCAGCAAGGTGGCCGCCACCTCAGAGCTTATTGGAAAGCCAGGTATGAACCGGTGGTGAAGGGGCAACTGCAGTCTCATGGGAAGGGTGACGGTACCGGCTTGTCCTTTACGCCCTACTGAGGTCATGAGTTGCCCCCCACAAGTGGCTCTCTGGCACAGCCATGGCTCCAGAGGCAAAAGGACTTAGTCCAGAGCCCAGCAGCTTGCAGAAGAAAAGTGAATGGACCATGCGTTAAACTACAGCGCCATACCTCCCCAGGAGGGAAAGGGTGTTGCTCCCTTCCACCTTTTTCCCCCCTGGCAGCAAGATGACCACTGCCTCAGAGCTTATAGGAAAGCCAGGTATGAGCCAGCGGTGACGGGGCAACTGCAGTCTCATGGGAAGGGGGGCGGTATCGGCACGTCCTGCACACCCTACTGAGGTCACGAGTTACCCCCCCCCCCCCACGAGCGGCTCTCCGGCACGGCCATAACACCAGACACACAGAAATCAATCTCGTAATTATCTGGCTCCTTGCAGAAATCCAAAATCATGGCTGTGTGACATTATATGATTCTCATAACCAGCTATAGAAAACAAAATATTTCACAATGCCTTTTCAGCAATTCTGATTGTTTGGGGGGAAATTCTAAACAATAATGGTGCATCTTTTGTCGAAATAATGAATGTAATCAATGTAGAGAAGAGTTAAGTAGAAATCATCAGCCTCACAGGCATTGGGAGAGGTAGGAGGGGGGTATACTGGGGTTCTTGGTGGTGAAAAATGAGTACTGGTGAAGGGAGAGGTGTTTAATCATTGTATGACCAAGAGTTAAACCTGAAAGCTTAGTAACTTTTCCCACAGTGATTCAATAAATAAATATAAAAAATAAATAAAATTAAAAAAATTAAGGTGGAGTTCATGCCCAATTCAATCAGCTAATCAGTGGCTGAATAAATAGCAGTACTCCTACGAAAAGAAAAGAAAAGAAAAAGCCAGGGTGATCTTACTAATATCAAACAACACAGACTTCAGGCTGAAAAAGGTTATGAGAGACAGAAAAGTTCATTTCTTAATGATCAAGAGGGATGTATATCAGTAAACTCATACTCCTAAATGCAAAATACCTATAACAACTTCTAACAGAACTTGAAGTAAGACATTAATAGTAGTACAAGAGTAGCTGGAGATTCTCTTGATAGATCAACTAGATTAAAGCTCAACAAGGAAATACTTTATTTGAGGGGAAAATGGAATAGAGGGATTTAATAGATATCTATAGGGTCAGTTTTTTTTTTCTTTTTGGGTCA